GCAGTTACACTGGTATCATTGACAGGCTGTTACCTTCCGAGTATACGGCACAAAACATATAATTAAATTATGTACGCAACAAAAAAGTTTTTACTTAAAGATTTAAAACCATCGTAATCTGTTTGGTACACATTGTGACGTCGTGTGAGGTCATCGTCTCTGCAATAGGCTGCACAGTCAATGTTTGCCAACTTTTGAACATCGCGGTACGGTCTTTTACTGTTGACTTTAACCGGTGCATTGAATCATTTAGCTTAAAGTTGATGGAAGTTCTGAACACAGAAGATCACAGACGAGATTATTATGACTCCCAACAGCATGAAAGCCTCGCATTCACGGTGTCGCCAATAACGCCTCTCCGATTGTGCCCGTGACATTGACGGGAACTGCACTGACTTCAAAGCACACCGCCCAGTGACGTAATTAGCGACCCTTCACTAGCAATTGGTGTGATGCTGCGCTTAAGTTTGGAGTAGGGGGGGGAGGATAGGTGGCGCAGTGGTTCTCGCGCTGAACTATGAAGCCTGGCGACATGTGTGTTATGCCCGTCAATGGCTATCACACGCGGTGAGTGATATCTCAGCCGGTCCTGGGTCCCTATTCTATTTTTGCGTATGGAAATGCAATATGTTAAGGTGCTAAATGGCAATGTCGAGGTCTGCTAGCCACGAGAGGGCTTCAGGAGAGAGTCTGTGTCGTGTGTCTATTCCTCCATTGAAGGAGCGCAGACTACACATTGGTTCATACTCTTAAGTTGTTTCGGTAAAGTCACGTAGGTAAAAAATAAAATTAAAAGTTAATAAGAGTAATAATGGAAATAAAATAAAATAATAAATCACGACGTTTCGGAGGCAACTCAAGTCTCCGTCATCATCAGGTGGGACCGTCACAGCAAAAATGACTGCATCAAGGGTGTGACGGTGTGACGGTCCCACCTGATGACGGACACTTGTGTTGCCTCCGAAACGTCGTGATTTATTATTTTATTTTATTTCCATTATTACTTTTATTAACTTTTATTTTTTACCTACGTGACTTTACCGAAAACCCTAAGAGTATGAATCCTTGCAGTCACGAAAGCTTCAAATCTAGAATTACACATTGGTTGACTCTGCGGTCCATAGTCGCCCTACTCTCTACCGTGGCTTGTGTCACATTTCCCATTCACGAAGGAGACGCGGGCATCGGCTTGTGGATGTTCTCATGCGGTTGATGGTTACACGAGTGTCTTCGATGAATGTCAATGCCAAGAGGTGCGATGTTTGAGTCTTGAATGAGGTCCCTATAATTATTCTTTGGGTCTTTCGGTAAAGTCACGTAGATAGGTTCAAAGAAAATGACAAAATAACAAAAAACGACGACGTTTCGATCGCAACACAAGCGTCAACATGATGACGACCGCTTGTGATGACGACCGCTTGTGTTGCGATCGAAACGTCGTAGTTTTTTGTTATTTTGTCATTTTCTTTGGACCTATCTACGTGACTTTACCGAAAGATCCAAATAATATGAATTCCAGCAGTCATGAAAGCTTTAAGTCAAGATTTAAGTCCCTATAAACCAACCCGCTCGGACCAGCCAGTTGAAGTATGATCAAGCAACATCACGTGACTGGTACGTCGCGGGAAGGCCTTCGTCCAGCAATTGATCGAAACAGCCAATTACCACTGCTCTATGTCGAATTTATGGCAGGTTTCTGTCGTAGGGTAATGTTTAGAGCTCTCTCAACTCACAATCCAGAGGTCGCTGTTTCGGTTCGATCTCCTACACACTCCTGTTCACCCAGTCGTGTGTATGAGGGCCCATACATTTCGATTTAAAGCTTTCGTGACTGCAGACCAGGTCTGTCGGGGAGACAGACGCTGTCTCCCCGACAGACCTGGTCTTCACTTGAGGACGCTGTCTCCCCGACAGACCTGCTCTCCACCTGAGGACGGCTGCTTGCGTTGTGGCCGAAACGTCGTGAGAATTATTTTATTATTTCTAGATTTGAAGCTTTCGTGACTGCAAAGATTCATATTCTTAGGTTTTTTCGGTTAAGTCACGTAAGTAAAACATCAAAATAAAAATAAAATAAAAATAAAAATCACGACGTTTCGGAGGCAACACAAGTCTCCGTCATCAGGTGGGACCGTCACAGCCGAATTAGCTGCATCAAGAAAAAACCTAAGAATATTATTTTATTATGTTTTATTTTTATTATTTTATTATTTCCATTCTACGTGATGACTTTACCGAAAGAACCAAGAAGATGAATCCCTGCAGTCACGAAAGCTTTAAATCGAAACATAAAAATGTTTTATTTTTATTATTTTATTATTTCCATTCTACGTGATGACTTTACCGAAAGAACCAAGAAGATGAATCCCTGCAGTCACGAAAGCTTTAAATCGAAACATAAAAATGTTTAATTTTTATTATTTTATTATTTCCATTCTACGTGATGACTTTACCGAAAGCACCAAGAAGAGGGCCCTTAGAGTCGATCGGCAGCAAGCCGCGTACGGTGGGGTAGAGTGTGGGTACTCCCCTGAGCCATAGCTGGCAGTGCATGTCGCCCAGGGCCAACGTCGCCTCCCTTCTCCACGATGTCGTGGCGTCGGCACCGCCTCACCAAAAATGCGAGCCACAAGGCGACACCATCGGCTACCTGATCCCACCCCCGAACCCTTCGACCGAGGCGGCCGTCCCGGCGGCTACAACACCGGGTACTTTCGACCTCGTCCAAGACACGTGGCCAGCGTGGAAGGATAGGCCAAATACCCTCGACAGGAGCCCTTTGGAGCTTCCTCCAGTGGAAGCTGTTCTGCCAGCAGTGTCGTGAACAAGAAATTGCAGGGCTGCAGCTTTAACACTTTTTAAATATTTATTGATGTGATGCGTGCCACCACTCACCGTGCATGAATAAAACTGACGCTCAAAGCACGGCGCAAACGCACTACATGTTAGACGTTATATAGTGCGTGAAGTGCACACACCAGAATCAGTTTTCAACGTTGACGATGTTGACAATGGGTGTCTATTCTTGGAAACGAGAGTCATTGCAGGGTTAACACTGCGGGGATGAATGACTTAAGACGGTTATTACAAAATATGTGGTGATACTGCTTTGGCAGTGGTGCACAAATAACAAAGACCAACAAAAGCACAACACATTCGTCAATAGCATGTGGCCTTAAAAGGAAAAAATATAGAATAGGCGACGTTTCGAGCAATGTCCCTTCTTCATAGCGTGTACATAGAGAGGGAGCTAGAGTTATGAATAGGTGGAAGCCAAGTATGCACTATGGGCCTGATAAGAATTACATTTTAAAAGTGTTTCCTGGGTAACAGTGTTTAATTTGGCGTATGAATAGCCACATATACGAAGATATTGAGTAACGGACACGCCCTTCAAAGAATAAAACATGTCTTATTACATAAAATAACGTGCATTACTCCCGTGTGGACACGTACTTCGTGAGTGCACATTCTGGTGTTCCAGACAGAACGGGTGTGCATTTCAAATGAGCATAAAATAAACACAATATCTATCCACTGCTGGATGCAGGCCTCCCCACTCCGTGTCGGTCACTAGGATTGTTTGACCATACGTCGGCATGTTGGTCAGTGCAGGTTGGTAAAGGCATAAGGTTCAGGGCGGGTTCAGATATTGCTCACCGCTAATGTCGGCCGTGGGCGGAAAATTGAACGCAATTGTGCTGAGTTCATCGCGAAATGTTCTAACCATTGCGTCACCATTCATGAGCACTGACTACAGAATCGCATAATGTATTTTACTTAATAATTAAAGTATTGTGCACCTGTCAATAGCTAACGATAATGCATAAACTCCTAAATTCTCATATTTTTAAAGCTCCACAATGCTGTCTCTAACTATGCCAATCGGCTATTATATGCGTGCTCTCTCCTTGCTCTGAAGAAGGGACATTGTCAATAACGTTCAACTCAATTTTCTCTGCAATAAGGCAATGCCAATGATGATGGATGGATGGTCTGTAATCTTTTTTTCACTGGGTCTTTCCAAATGTACGCTTCAATATTTTGAACTTAATCGATAAATGGCACAGCCCCTGACTAATTATATTTTTTGTGAAACTCTCAAGCCATTTAGAATCGCAGTGAGCTGAAAAGAAAATCTGCACGGATTACATAATTCACACACAAATGAAAAAAAATGAACGTTTTAAACCGTACAGCATCATGGGAAAAAACTGCAATGCATCATTGGAAAAGCACAGAGCACGTATGACGTATAAGTGAAAATGTACATCGACTCTTAAGTTCACTATCCACGCGTCGGCTTGCGTGTGTACGAATCGATGTTTTCAACTCGTAGATATTGTATGTAATTGGTTGACGTGACCACTACCCAGAGCAGTCCCTAATATTCACTCCGTTAAAAATGTTTCAAAATAATTAATTTTTAATCGAATTATGACCCATGACACGCGGCGATTTATGTCATCACCGGCTACGAGTGAGGAGGGTTAAACTATTAGGCACAACGCGCCGTATATTGTTAATATTATCAAGTGGATTTTTTACATGTCAAGTCATTATTCGAAAGAGCAGACCCTTGTGCTGTCTCCCACATTGTTATTGTGGTTATCACGACGTATTACAGTCACAATAATAGATAGATACGCATACCTTCGCGATATGTTAAATATTAATAGGAATGCTCGCATTGTTAAATACATGGCATACATGAATTAATAAACTTCCGCTATGTATGTGGTTGCGGTGCTGTAGAATTAAGCTCACGGATGCAGTTCGTAAGCTGAGCCGTGATCAAAAGAGTGCGAGTGTCCATAACCCAGGGACTCGACAATAACACGAGAGACCACTGACTCGTTTATTTGAAATAAGCAAAGAACGGGGTCTAAATACAGCAGTGACAGAGCCGAGACATGATCGCGGTGGCGCGTCACATTACATACAGCAGCACCATCATGACCACCACCGCCATCACCACCACCACCATCAGCACATCTCACCACGTTGATGTAAGTGAGGAATTTCCAGCTGCCGCCGTACGTCTGCTGAGCGGGTATGTCCACGGCCCTGTAGGCGCAGAGAACTGAGAAATAGGCGAGCAGTATGGACACTCGCAACAGAGGGACCGGAATCAACGCCATCGCCCTCGCCGTGCAGAGCACACTGGGAAATGTAAAAGCTCCCCGACGCGTCTTTACATCTTCCAGTCTGCATCTCCCTCACTGATTCGCGCCCACAGTACTGAAATACTGTTTCACGTCTAGAGGAGTTCATATCTCCCGCGAGCTAATACAGTAACCTCATCGACATCTCACAGTCTGTACATAAACTGATGACCGACTAATAAAAAAACACATCGATACAGCATACTGTACCACGATATTTTAAACAATAATAATGACGGTAATCATCATCGTCCATTTTAATGTATGGACATGTTCGGCGAGCACGTGTTGTAGTGCGTTTTGCAGCGTGGGGGCGCTTGTGCGTTTTCTCTCCAGTGCGTTGCGTTTGTTTGGGTCTGTTGGGGAGCAAAGACCAGCGCGGACTTGAGTGAAAACTCCAGGTTCTATCAAGCACAATCCTGTGTGTGCACAGTCGGCACAGACAAATTAAGAGAGAGATGTGTGTGTTGTTTTAAGCGCCATTGAGTGTAGGACAACGGCACAGGCAGATTAAGGTGAAGAGGGACACGGGTTCAGCACCCCCTGTATGTGGACAGCGACACAGCCAGTTGAAGGCCGACGGTGATTTATCTTTGCTTCAGTACCCTGTATGTGGACAGCGACACGAGCAGGTGAAAGCCGACGGCAACTTCTCTTGGGTTCAGCACCCCTTTATGTGGACAACGACACAGGCAGGTGAAGGCCGACGGTGATTTATCTTTGCTTCAGTACCCTGTATGTGGACAGCGACACGAGCAGGTGAAGGCCGACAGGCATTTGGGTTTTGTATTTATAATCCCCTGCGAGTGGACAGTAACGACGTCAGAGATATTAAATGGGCATTATTTAACCAGGTTTGAGGTCATTGATGTACACATCTCTCTTACACGCGAGAGGCGGAGAATAGCATGTAGGGATGTCTACATATGACCTGTGATTGTAGACTACTTGTAAAGATTCGCGCGGAATTTGAAAAGCATAGAGCAATCGCACCCATGTCTGTATGGTTGATGGAAGTGTAATCGAGTAGTTGTTGTGTAAGAGACACCTTTGGAGAGTGTCATACAAAGTGAATTTTCCGAGTCATTGTACAGTGGCGTGTAGATTTGTTTATATTCATAAATTTTTTTAGGAAACCATCACTGAGTCTCAATACTGTTTCAGAAGGGCCATTCTTGAGATTATCTCTCCATTCCTTTTTAATTACTTTTGCACCCGTGTAAGAAGAGCACAGTGTCAAAATAATTATATACGACTGGATAACGGTGAAAAAATTTGCCCCAGATATATCTGCGAGCTATTTGCTCTATTACCCGGAGTATTAGTTATACTATGTAGCATTGCATGACGTGATTGCAACTGAAAATGAATACGTCAAAATTTCCATGTGTTTGAGCATCGGATGATGCTCATCTCACAATCTCCATTTGTCCTGGAGAAATCCGATGAGCTATGAAGCTCTTTTTCACAGATGTCCACACATGAGCCAGCGATGGAAATTCCACATCCCATGGAATAAGACAGTTTTTCATAAAGGATGACCATTGCTGACCTCCCATAAATTGGTACAAGTGATACTGACCCTGAAGATATTGTTGGCTAAGTCAATTGCTCAGCGAAATTCTAACTCAAAACCCTTCCGATTGTGAGTCTAGAGAGCTCTTACCACACCGCCATCTGGATGGATAATGTAATTGTATTCCATTTATAACCAGCATTTGTCTAATTTAATAATGAAATATCCAGGGTGAAATTCAAAATAAACTGGATGTCCTCAAGTGGAAATTTCATGCACCAAGTACGATTTGGCATTTATTTGAACGTGTTTTATTTATGGTAGCCGATGGTCAACATTCCTGGATGGGATTGGCATTAAACCAAGCGAGAGAGCAAGAGCAGATGCGTCTGTCACGATTGAAAGGTTGGAGGAAGAGAAGTGTGACAACACAGCCTCGGTCACTTGAGCCATGTATGTGTGATGCGGCGGCTGCTCGCTGAGACTCGAATGATCCTATTTAAAAATTTGCATGTTATTTTTGTCCGTAGTCATTCATCCAAAAATAGCAGCCCAAGGTCAACGGGAGATTTAACATCCATCACAATGTTGTCATGTCTCGGCTAGAAGGCAATATGACAATTGCATTGCTGACGTACGCCTAAAGAACAATTTGTTTTATCTTATCAAGAAATAAACTGAGATCATGTATTGGTATTCTTGGTTCTTTCGGTAAAGTCACGTAGAAGGGAAACAATAAAATAATAAAAATATAAAACAATACAATTCTCACGACGTTTCGACTGCAACACAAGCAATCATCATCAGGTGTGAAAAACACAGCAATAAAATTTGAAAAAAGTGGCGTTTTTTTTTACGTCAGCACCACGGACAGCGAGTTTGGCAGTTGGTCAGATGGACGAGTCCAACTATGTTCGGAAAAGAGGAGGGGGGAGAGGAAGAGAATGGAATGCCGTCTGAAAGTCACCGTAAGCGTGAACACAATCAATTAAGACCCGAAATGGTTTATCAAATCCTTCCAATGATTGCTAAGCCAGAATCCATCTTCTCGGTTGAAATTGTCTCTGTGTTTGTATATGTGGATAGCCTCATGAACGAATCTCTCATGGTAGCCAGATGGCTTGCAGAGAACCTCAGTCTGATTGTTTCCCTTCTACGTGACTTTACCGAAAGAACCAAGAATATGAATCCATGCAGTCACGAAAGCTTTAAATCAAAATTTTAAAAAATATGTATTGTGTGTAAATTTGTCCGGTTTCGGGTTTGGAGCAGAAGAATACTACCGGATACAATCACATTTACCAACGCGATTGTTTTAACTTACCCATGTATCGAAAGTTGAATTTTAATGTGCACTTTTATTAAGGGATTGTGTGTTGTCGTGGTGTGGTCTGCAATTGTTTTTAATATTGTTTTGCTGCCTTTCCCAAGTTTGGAGATTGATGTACTTATGCAATTTGTACTTCAATACTTTCTTGTGTTTTATTTATGTTAGGGGCGCCTGGTATGTAAGAGGTCGTGGGCTTAATCCGGACTCTGACACCGGTATCTGTGGAGTTTGCATGTTCTCCCCGTGGTCACACGAGTTTTTTTTCTCCGAGTCGTCCAGTTTTTCCCTCCACATTTAGAAACATGCGTTTAGATTATTTGTCTGCTATAAATGGCCACGTAATAAGCCACTTCATTGAGCTATTAGTTATTTCTGAAAAATAACTAATAGCTCAGTGGGCTTTATCTAGTAAATAAAAAATAATTGTTTAGTTTTAGTTTCTTTATTATTTTTTGTGACTTGCTTACCTTTCCTATACTTTGCACTCCTATCGATTTGTATTTGCTGTTCCAACTTTCTCAACCGCTCCTACTGGACATCTGTGAAAAAAGAGCTTCATAGCTTATCGGATTTCTCCAGGATAAATAAAGATTCGGATTCTGATTCTGTTTGGGTGCAAATTGGGGGTTTGCTATTCTCCGTTCGTGGACCCTGAACCAGTGATGGAACTCCCACGTCCATGTGACGGAAATCAGAGTATCTCAACTGCAGAACCACGGTAGAATTGTGACAAACGAGTATACTCATGTATCGCTCCTAAAGAGGTAATGGGTTCAATTGACCCCCTGGCCAAGATTTTAACTCACATTTTTTCCCAATAGTGGATCGAGCATCCTAAACAAAGCACCACGTGGCTGAATTGAATTGTAATACATTCGTAGCATGAACCAAAATACATATTAACAGCTATGTGCTTACCAATGCTAGTAACTGATTCATAGATACACACAGGAGGAATTAAAAGCATACCGTATGCATGTGCGAGACTTCATCTACAACGTTTGGGTTTGCATATGAGCAAATACAAGAATGGAGTGTTCAAATCTGTGTTTTATTCAAGTAGATTATCAGTCAGAGGCATATTGACATCCAGCCAAGACGATTTCATGTATATTTCAAGATCAAACATCCTCTGCAAAGTAGGGTGTGTTCATGTGTTAATGTGTTTTTGTAGTTTTGCAAGCACTCGTCCTAATTCAGCATCACAATCTGTCGCTCTCTGAAGCTTGCAGCATTCACAACGCTGGCAAGCCGTGCCACGTGATCACATCTTCATTTACCGTGTCACGTGCTGCAGTACATCCAGCTGTCAGGATGTGCCAGCGATAAATCTGGGGATATTACACAGGACAGGGTAGAGGCATGCATGTGGCTGCTGCTGCTGCTGCTGGCAGCTTACAGAAGAGACGCAGAAATGTGTGTTACGTAAGGAAGGTTATAATCCAAAGTGGTGACATAACGAATGAAAACGTTGGAATTGGCTTCTGCCGTTGCACTGTGAGTGTGAGTGCATGAGCCAGGGGCGGCGGGGGTGGGAAATACTTATTTTGCCGGTCTGCATTAGTGGGCTCGACTGCAGGCGGCAACCACAACAACGACAACGCTGATGCTGTCTAACACACTGCAACTATGGTTAGGCTATGTCAATCTACCTAAGGTTAAAAGTGCGCTGTCTGGTCCGTCTGTCTGGCTGTAACGGGGGCGGGGGTGGCGAAGCGGGGTGGGGGCACTATAACTCTGTTACGGATCCAATATTGAACGACGGCGTCCAATATTTTATATGAAGTGCTCTTGCCAGTAACATCGTTTTAATGCAGCAGTATGTGTTGAACAAGCCCGACTCTGGTAACGAGATCCGGAAGGTCGAAACCGCTCAAGGGATTGCTTGCTCAAACAAATGCTGCTTGATAATAGTGGTCTGGAAAAGCCAATAATAGGATAATGGACTAAAGCATATAGTATTATGTCTGGAGAGTCACAATGGGAATTCTGCCTTTATTTGTTTTTACCCACTTTCAACCAAAATTTGTATATAAAGCCAATTTTATTAAAGGCATTTGCCCAAAACTTGGACACATATAATCTCTTAAGACAAAACTCATGCTGGACAGCGTCCTTACACAATATATGCACATGCATGGTTTTTATTAACATCTTTATTGAAGGTTCAATTCTTGGCCCAGCTTGAGTCGGAGTGGTCGTGGGATATATCAAGTGTCCCTGCTTAAGAGGGTGTAATCAGGGACATTTGGCATCGATCCGTCAATCAATTCACGTCGATTCAGAAGCTCGCGATACACACATCGAATCGCGTGTGTAAGCAAAGTGCGATTTGATGAGGAAGGGGGGGAGCGTGGGGGTGGAAATGGAGGGGGGATAAGGGGATGTCCCTGGCTTTGCTTTTTTACTTTGC